CGGGTCATACCCGGATCGTATCCAACCCATGTCATTTTTGGTATCGTCAATTACCCCCATAACTACTCCCTAATAAATTTGGGAGTAGTTATCGATGACTGCTAATCATGATTTTGATGGCTCAAGGAGATCTCATGGAAAAACGAACGGTTGGATCTGGAACCAACGCCTTGAAATTTGAAATTTTCTCGTTTTCCCGACGCCTTGGTCTTCAGGTCCACTTTGCCTTTATAACCCTCATAGATGTACTTTCAACTTTTTTTTACTACCTCTACCTTATCTCTCTGTTAATCAAATCGTTGTTCGTCTCTATTACAAGGCAAGTTAAATCTTCTCTGGCGAGTTTCTGCAAGAGCTACTCATTTTTCATCTTCTCGAAGCTTCCTTTGAATCCTTCAATCTCCTTGAGGTCAGTTCTATTTTCCTTTTTCTTCAATCATATTAAAAGCAAAAACTTTTTCTCTTTCTTAGGGTTTTTGCTTTTTTTTTTTTTCATCATGCCTATTGATCTTGATATCCTCCGTATGAAACTTCATCTTCCTGACGACATACAAATTAGAGAATGTCCTAAAGAGGTGAACATTAGGTTTGGAGCAGGGCTCCTTCTTGGTGAAGTTCTATTTTCCCTTCATCAACTAAACATTATCAGATTCCCTCTGCACCCCTTTTTCAACTATGTTTTCAATAAATTGGGGCTCTCTCCTCTGCAAGTGAATCCCAACTTTCTCAGAGTTATATCCGTTTTACTGCTTCTGAGTCGTGATCGAGGTTTAGATCTTGACATTATTACCTCCTTCTTTGTTATAAGGTCAACAAAATCAGGTTGAACGATTTGTACTACCATTTCTACCCTCTGGAAAAGATGTCAATTTGTACGGACAAACTTGACTCTCTGAAAGGGTGGAAAAAGAACATAGTAGGGGTCAGGGGAGCTTGGTCCACTTCTACCGCACAGGATTACCCTATTCCGACCGCCTTTAGCGAGTGTTCGGTTTCTTCGTACAAGAAATACAAAAATCATAAGGCTGATTGTCCTTGCGAAATTTGCGTTCCTCGCTTCTGCATTTTCTTATGCCGTTCCCTAGGCATCCCTAGTAATGACTTGAACTACGGTGTTTGCAGGGATAGGGTTAATTACCTAAAGAAGTACATTCTAAACAATGTCCCTTCCTGCTCAGATCTCCTCACTTCGGATAATCTTGCCGACATCTCTCTTCTTGGCAAAAGTATGAGTCAGCTTCAGATTCCTTCCTTCGGCAGGAGGAAAAATCCCCCCCAGGTCACTGCTGCTGCTGCGGCAACCTCTTCTCCTGCTTCGGCATCTTCCTCTGCCACTATTTCTAACACCACTCCGAACGTAGTGGCTGTTGGTCCAACTATTGACGTTCTTCCTGCTACCCAAAACGTAGCTCTTCAGGTTAATACCTCTTCTGTTGTCATTGCTGGTGCTCAAGACAAAGAACGAGGCAAAAGGCCTCAACCTGATAGTGAACCCAACCTAGATGATGTCCCTCTGACAAGGAGGATTCGAACCTCTAGGCCGAACTTACTGTACCGTCCAATCAGACCTATTGCCTCCTCTGAGTCTGCTGCAGCCACTACCTTTACCTCTGCTTCTGTAATGTTACCATGGACTCCTCGGCTCATCCGAACGGATGGGTCAACTGTAAAATCGAATGAGACCATGTTCAAGGATGGCCAGACAGCCATGGCGTAATACAGGAACATGTGGACCCCTAAAGACATTGAGGTGGCCAAAGGCCTGTCTCAGAAGGAGGTATTCAGCCGCTTTCCCTTGTCTGCTATGGAGGTAACTCTTTCCCTTCAAATAACAAATCTTTGCATAGTCTTTATACTTGAATTCCTCTGACCATACACTTGGCTTAATCAGTACTCATGCATATCTCTGCAGACCTTGTTCGGGATGATGGCCATGCAAAAAAAAGTGGAGTTGGTTAATGTTAGGGCTAGTAAGTTCTCTGACAGCCTTGATGTGGCCAATAAGGAGAGCAAAGCTTTAGGCGCCCAGAATGATGAACTGATGGTGTAACTGAGGAAAGTCGAGAACGAGAGGGACGTTTTGAAGAATGAGGCAAACTCCCTTCAAGACGAGAGGGATGCTCTCCAGATTGAGAAAAGCATCTGGCAGACTGAACGTGAGTCTCTCAAGGCTGAGAAGGAAGAACTCCAATGCCTACTAAGTGATAAATAGTCAGCGCGGATGGCCTTTGAGAAAAGGGCCTTAGCCGAACGTGATGCCTTACTCAGCACCATTGGTAAGGTGAATGGTGGTATGCTGGCCCTTCATGCACGCTTTTCCAGGATCGGTGCCCTTAGGTATGCACAGGGATTCTGAGAGGGTTATAACGATCGTGTTCCTGCTGAAAGCCAAACCGGCTCTTCTCCAGATGAGGTTGACAAGGAGTTAGAGCTCAACCCCCCAGGAGTCTACGTTGACCCAGACTCTACTCCTGCTGAGCACATTTTTGATGAGTGTCAGGAGATTGCTTCCTCTAGGGTTATTTCTACTCCCTCCACTGCTCTTCCTCTGGACTTTCCTTCTTTGTCTTCCATGATCCCATCTGCCAATACTACTGAGGAAGGAGGTTTTCAGAACGAAACAATCATTCAGCTTGACTCCCCTCCTCGTGGAGATGGGACTACCAATGATGATGATGGGACAGCTCAGCACCATCAAGAAACCAATGGGGCAGATGCAACTAGTTAGGGCTTTTCTTAATATATCAATTCCCTCATTTGCTTTACATGTACTTTTCCCTTGTAGGCTCAAAATGTTATGAATGAAATGAATGGTTTTTGGCTGAACTTTGTCCACATTTTCTAATATATTATATTTTTGGCTGAACTGGTTAGTGCTTGATTCTCCGCTGGAATGCCACTTGCCACTTTCACTTTCGTTTTTGGCAAGTCTTTAGCATTCAGCTAATAGTGCCAGCTGCCACTTATTTTGCTGAAGTGATTGGCGCTCGGCTAGAATGCCACTTGCCACTGTCACTCTTCACTTTTTGGCAACTTTTTGCCATTCGGCTATTAGTGCCAGCTGCCACTTACTTTGCTGAAGTGATTGGCGCTCGGCTAGAATGCCACTTGCCACTGTCACTATTTATTTTTGGCAAGTTTTTGGCGTTCGGCTCATAGTGCCAGCTGCCACTTACTTTGCAAAGTGGTTGGCGCTCAGCTAGAATGCCACTTGTCACTGTCACTCTTCACTTTTTGGCAAGTTTGGCGTTCGGCTATTAGTGCCAGCTGCCACTTACTTTGCAGAGTGGTTGGCGCTCAGCTAGAATGCCACTTGCCACTACCACACTTTCATTTTTTGGCAAGTTTTTGGCGTTCGACTCATAGTGCCAGCTGCCACTTACTTTGCAGAGTGGTTGACGCTCAGCTAGAATACCACTTGTCACTGCCACATTTTCATTTTTTGGTAAGTTTTTGGCATTTGGCTCATAGTGCCAGCTCCCACTTACTTTGTAGAGTGGTTGGTGCTCGGCTAGAATGCCACTTGCCACTGTCACTCTTTACTTTTTGGCAAGTTTTTGGCGTTCGGCTCATAGTACCAGCTGCCACTTACTTTGCAGAGTGGTTGGCGCTCGGCTAGAATTCCACTTGCCACTGCCACTCTTTCATTTTTTGGCAAGTTTTTGGCGTTTGGCTCATAGTCCCAACTGCCACTTACTTTGCAAAATGGTTGGCGCTCAGCTAGAATGCCACTTGCCACTGCCACTCTTTCATTTTTTGGCAAGTTTTTGGCATTCGGCTCATAGTGCCAGATGCCACTTACTTTGCTGTTTTTCAAACACTCAATTTTTTAAAAGAAGATAGCTCTTTATAGATTTCAAAATTTCGTACATTCATACGTACACAATTTGAAAATAAACAATGATAAAATTGGAACTCGACTTTCTATTGATAATACCTTTTCAGAGATGTAGCATTCCATGGCTTATTGACCAGCCTTTCGGCCATGGTCTCTAAGGTGTAAGCCCCATTTCCTATGACTTCTGCAATTCTATATGGGCCTTTCCAAGGTGACACCATTTTTTTAACCATTCCTACCTTCCTCTTCAGAACCAGATCACCTGGTGCAAAGTCTCTGTGCTTTACCTTCTTGTTATAGTTGTTCATAAGGGTCTGCTGGGAGGATGCGAGCCTTACTGCCGCTGCATCTCTCTTTTCCTCCAACATATCGAGGTTAAACCTTAACATACTGTTGTTTTGCTCTTGGCTCCATGCTAAGCTTCGGACAGTCGGAACCAAGTGCTCGACCAGTATAACTGCCTCGGTACCATATGCCATGGCGAATGGGTTCTCTCCGGTCGGCCATCTTGGGGTCGTTCTATAAGCCCATAAGACGTTCGGCAGTTCTTCTAACCATTTTCCTTTCTGATCCTCAAGTTTCTTCTTGATGCAAGCAAAGATTGTTCTATTTGTGATTTCTGCTTGGCCATTTGCCTGCGGATGACTTACTGCTGCTAACTTCTGGTTGATTCCATACTCTTCCAGCAACTCTTTTACTTGCTTACTATCGAGATTAGTTCCATTATCCATAACAATCGACCTTGGAACACCAAAGCGGTAAATAATATTATTCCAAATGAAGCACCTCACATGAGTTTGGGTTACACTGGGATATGGCTCTGCCTCCACCCACTTTGTAAAATAATCCATTGCTAATAGAACGTACTTATTCTGTGATCTTGTGGTCGGCAGAGGGCCAACCACATCCATCCCCCATTGCGCGAAAGGCCAGGGCGTGGCCATTACGTGCAAATCTTTAGGTGGTTAGTGAATCAGTGGTCCGAACCTTTGGCATTTATTGCATTTTCTAGAGAATTCTTTTACATCTCGTGACATGTTCGGCCAAAAATACCTCTGCATCATTGCTTTGTGAGCTAAAGACCTCCCCCCTAAATGATTCCCACATACACCTTCATGAATGGTTCGCAATATCTGCCGAGCCTCTGTGGGGGTGACACATTTTAAGCATGGCCAGAAAAAGATCTTTGGTACAACTGGTTATGCACTATGGCATATTTCGCTGCATTTGACTTGATCTTCCAAGCTTCATCCCTTTGTTCAGGCATAATGCCATCCTGTACATAAGTTATGATCGGATCTATCCAGCTCGGTTCATATGGAATGACATTCACCTGCCAAGGATCTGACCCTAAAGGTTCTTCAAAGATGGATGGCTGGTTCAATATTCCTACTGGGATCACCCTTGCCAATGTCTCCCCAGAACCCGAGGCACTGCATGCCAACCGATCGGCATCTTCATTTTGTTCCCTCGGTAACTGGACAAACTTTACATTATCAAAGTTTTTAGCCTCGCGCATGACGGCAGAACGGAATGCCTCCATTGTTTCGTCCTTAGCTTCATATTCGCCATTCACTTGCCGAATAACTAACTGTGAGTCACTAAAAGCGGTTAAGTTCCTGACTTTCAGCTCGTTGGCTAACTTAACGCTTCATACTCTGCTTCATTATTAGTGGCTCGGAATTCAAGCCTGAGCACTTGACTTAGGAATGTGCCTTCTGGCATCTGTAATTTGATCCCAATGCCTGCCCCCAGCTGATTTGAGGATCCATCTACAAAGAGTTTCCATGGACAACTGCGAAGGCCTTCTTCCACATCTTACGAATCACATTCTAGCAAGAAATCATCCACTACTTGCCCTTTAATAGCCGTTCTGGGTTCATACGTTATGTCAAACAAACTTAACTCTATGGCCCACTTCGTCATTCTCCCCGAGAGGTCTGGCTTATACAAGATCACTCTGATCGGAAAAGCGGTCATAACAACGATAGGATGGGATTCAAAATAATGCCTTAGCTTCCTTTTTGCATTGACGAGCGAGAATATCACTCGTTCGGCCTTTGAATATCTTCGTTCGGCATCAGTCATTGTTTTGCTGACATAGAACACTTGGTACTAAGCTCTTTCCTTGTAGCGGATCAGAACAACACTCGTCGCAATATTAGATACCCCGAGGTGCAAAAATAACTTTTCTCCTGGTTCGGGAGCGGACAGAATCGGAGGGCTCTGCATATATTCTTTCAAACTAGTTAGCGCTTGTCGCTGTTCATCCCCCCAGGCCTGTCTCCTATGGCTTCGTATGGTATCAAAGAATGGCTTGCAGCGATCTAACAGCTTAGAAATAAACTGGCTCAATGCAGCTATCCGACCTGTGAGGGCTTGTATTTCTTTAATCGTCTTTGGTTCAGCATTCTTGGTCAGAGCCTCTACTTGGGCTGGGCTAGCCTCGATTCCTCTATGATTAACCACATCTCCTAGGAATTGACCAGAGCTTATGCCGAATAAGCATTTGGTTGGATTAAGCTTCATTCTATATCTTCTCAATACCTCAAGCACGTCCTGCAGATGCTTCAAATGGTCAACTCTTCTCTTACTTTTCACTACCATGTCGTCAATATAAGCCTCTACAGTCTTCCCCATCTAATCCTTGAAAATCTTGCTGATCAGCCTCTGATAAGTTGCCCCAGCATTCTTTAATCCGAATGGCATAACTTTGTAGCAATAGGTCCCTCGTTCGATTACAAAAGAAGTTTTCTCCTCATCAGCCAGGTTCATGGGGATTTGATTCTATCCTGAATAAGCATCCAAAAAAGTTAAACGTTCGTATCCAGTAGTGGCGTCCACCATTTGATTAATCTTTTGCAGCGGGAAACTATCCTTCGGACAAGCTTTGTTTAAATTAGTGAAATCAATGCATACTCGTCACTTCCCATTCTTTTTTCGCACAACTACAACATTCGAAAGCCAGTCTGAGTAATATACTTCTCTAATGAATCCCGCATCAAGCAACCTATCAACCTCCTCGGCTATGATCCGATTACGCTCTGGAGCGAATCTTCTCTGCCTCTGCCTTACAGGCTTCGCATTCGGATTGACGCTGAGGGAGTGGCAGGATACCGAAGGGCTTATTCCGGGTATGTCCGAGTGGCTCTAAGCGAACATATCAGCATTCTAAGACAAGAAATCAATTAACTCCCATTTCTCTTCCTCAGCAAGTCTTACTCCCACTCTAGTTGTTCGTTCTGGTTTGTTATGATCGATCTGTATATCAACAAGGGGTTCTTCGGTCAAGTTCTCCAACTTCTCTTCCCTACTTTGGCTGGGTGGAGGCTCCTGTAATTGCTATCTAGGGCTTGCAGAACGGATGGGAGCTTTTCCCTTTGCAGCAGATTTCAGCGTCATAGAATAACATTCCTTAGCTGCAACCTCGTCCCCATGAATGTCAATCACCTTATTTCCGTCAAGCCCAGGCATCTCATCACTTGGTGCAGAGTTGAGGGAACACCCTGAACTTTGTGAATCCATCCTCTGCCCATCAGAAGGTTGTAAGATGGATGGATCTCAACAACCACAAAGCTCTCTATCAGAACCCTTTTTGCAGCCTGCACTGCGACTTTTACCATACCGATGGGTTCCACCTATTTTCCATCGAACCCTAGCAAGGGATTTGCAGTGGACTCGAGCCTCTCGGGTTTTATTTTGAATTGATTGAAAGTGTCCCTCTGCATAACATTTGCGCTACTTCCAGGATCAATCAGGACTCGTCGTACTAAGCACTCCGCTACTGTCAAATTGACGACTAACGGATCCTCGTGAGGAATTTGAACACGTAACAGGTCAGTTTTGTCAAACTTTATCTGTGTTGATGTGCTTTGCTGGTGCAGAGTGTTTACACTACCTATCCTCCTCTTCATCTGTGCCTGGCGGAGGCTTATTCGAAGCAGTTCATCAGACTCCTCAGTGGGTTCTGGCTGACCATGAATTGCATTGATTATTCAAACTAGCTGCGAGTCTTGGGAGTTCGGCTTTTGATTCCTCTTCACGTGCTCCATCGGTCGGTTCTGTTCTACCGCCGGGCCTTGAATATAACTTGCGAACTCTCCTCTGGCTATCAGTATCTCTACCTGTCTTCTTAGGTTCATGCCTTCATTAGTCTGATGGCCAAAGTCAGAATGGAATGCACAATGCTTAAACTGGTCCCTCTGTTTGAGGGGCTGTCTGATCGGTAAAGGAGATCGGAACTTATCTTTATTTTCTTGGTACAGCCTTGCTAGGGTGACTTTCAATGGAGTAACCAGCTCTTCCTCTCTGGGCCTCTTCTCAGATTTCCAAGAGGTCTGACGCCGTGGTTGAACCTGCTTTTGCCTGATCTTCACTTTGGTTTTCTCTTCTGTTGATATGATGGATGTCTTCTGAGCGTTAGCTGCTTCCTCTTCTTCTAAGCGCACAAAACCATCAGCTCTTTCATTGAGTTCATCCATAGTTCTCGGCATATTCACTACCAAGCTTGTGTGGAATGGAATGACACGAGTCATGGCCAATTTAAACACTTGAACCGCAGTAGAAGGATGACATTCAATCACTATGCTCTTAGTAAGGTTAAACCTGGTAAGAAAAGCTTGGAGACGCTCATCCTCATGCTGCTTCATTGTGAATAGGCTCGAAATGTCCTTTGCTGGATGTTTATTCCCATAGTATTGGCTTAGGAACCGATCGCATAAGTTTAGGAAACTATCCACTGAGCCCCTCGGCAGGTTCTTGAACCAATTGAGCGCTGGTCCAGCTAGACTTGTAGGAAAGCATTTGCACATTAAGGAATCGTTCTCAGTTTTCAAGGCCATTTTCAACTGGATGTGATATACATGATCAATCGGATCGGTCGTCCCGTCAAACAGAATGAAAATGGGCATGGAGAATTTCCTCGAACTCGGAGCATTCAGAATTTCATTAGTAAACGACAAGTCAACCGTTCGAGCCGCTGAGCGGAGGGCTTCATTGTCCCTCTGGAGCCCTGCGATAGCTCTCTGATCTATAGATCTCCTTTCTGAACTTCGATAATCAAACATTGCCATGGAAGGCCGATAAGACGAATCGAATGATCTTTCCTCTATAAACTCCTTATGCCACGGCGGTATAGCTTTGTGGCGATCAAACTCTATTGCTTCTTCTTCGTTGTGCATTTCTTGATATGGATCGAAAGTCATGGCTTCGTTTCGCCTGAGCTGTTCACGCCGTGGATCTACGTGAGTTGATCCTTCACGATCATCAACACGATGAGGATTTGGCGGTAAATTATTTGGCCGGACCTCCTCATGGTGAAGATCTGTCTGGTTGTTTCCCACCTCCTTACCGTGATGTGCAGCACCAGGACGTAGAACTTCTTCTCCTACTGGGAGCGGTCGCGGAATCACCGGAGTTTTTTGAAGCTGCATTTCAGTCCTTAGCTCTGCATTCTCTCTCCCAAGAGCTTCGATCATGTTCATCAACTCATCAAGTTTCATCTGCTGGACATTTTCTACCGGATTAGAGTTCTCACTCCCAGTCATCATTCCAGAACGGAGCAAAGGCATGAATTACAAATTCTAAATCAGATCTGAGTTTCATTAACGTGAATCACGTCAGATCCGGACTCAAATTTTATGAATTACGTTCACCATTTGCTAAATCTGAGTTTTCCTGTCTTTGAACTTGTCAGATCGAGCCACAATAGAATGAATCACCACTGCGTAAATCTGATGCCAATTTCTCAAAATCAATCAGAAATCAAGAACTTCTCAAGAGCAAACCGCAATCCCTTAGATCTGGATTCAACTTCTAGAAATCAAGCTTCGTCTTCACGAATTAGTCTGAATCAACATGATGTTGATCAAACATGCATCAATCTTCAACGATTCCCACAGACGGCGCCAATTGTAAATGCTAGAAAATATCTCTCCAAATTTTTTTAGAGTTTCATTACATTTTTTCTATCCCTCCTTTTTTCTTTACCACTCTTGTATATTTATAGGCAATTACAATCACTATTGGGATGTCATAACTGATTTCTTATGCTGGCCCCTAGCTTCGGGCTTCCTTCCTAATGGGCCTGACTTTGTTGAGTAGATCTCAGAGGTTTGGCCCATTCTGCAGTGCCTCTATGTGGGCTGAACCCAATCGCTTGATCCGATGCTCCTTTCGCGGGTCATATCCGGATCGTATCCGGCCCATTTCATTTTTGGTATCCTCAAGTATATTAATGAAAAATTAAGAAAATAATGAAATTGTTTTTAAAATTTTCTAAAATATATTTATGCAAATTTAATGAAGAAAATTAGTATTATTATTATTTTTTTCATAATTTATTTCAATAAGAAAAATAGATTAAGTGTAATTCAATAACAAAGGGAATTATAGTCATTTAATAAAATATACTTTATGCATTGAGGCATTCTGTAACAAAATGTTATTCACAAAATATAGTTTAGAGTTTATTTACAAATTCAAACAAAGTTGAAATATAGTTTAGACAGGGCATACATTCAGTCATCACTATGTAGAAACAGAATCCACCTAGCTACCACTAATTGCAACTGAGACTAGAAAGTTCATATCACCACAGAATATCCCAAGTAAAATGGAAATAAATTACATAATTCTTTTCTTCTTTTTTTTCCCCTTTTTTAGTCCCAACATAAATGCACAACAATTTCAAGTCTGTGGCATCACAGATGCAAATAATAACGCCATGGAGGAAATGAACATAATGATTTCATTCAGCACTTGCCTTGGAGTCGCAACGTAAAAGCCTGCAATGCTAAAAGAACTTCTTTCAACCTCTCCTTGGCCCCCTCATCGATCAAGTTGCCATCACTATCGAACTTTGCAGGAGGTTGGAACGCGTTCAAGAAAAATTCAGGCTTATTGATGAAATGAAGATCAAGGAAAACTCCGATTTGGCGGAGATGATACTGAGATCGTCCTCCGCCAAAATCCTCTCCAGTACTTACAATAGCAGCAGCCTTACCGGCCCAAACATTTGGAGGCCTTGAAGCCCAATCAATTGCATTCTTCAAAGGTGCTAGCAAAATGGGGAAAAATATCGATAACAAGCAAATGTATAAGTAGCACATAAAAGATGCAACAATGTATTATCCGGATAGTATAGTAATATGCAATTCAACGTAAAATGTTCTGTAAAAAAAAGAACTACTATTATTATTAGTAGTTCAAATGTTCTGTAAATGGAAATTTAAAAGAAGAAAAAAAAAAAAAAAAAGAAAAGAAAAAGAGGAAGAAGTAATACCAGTTACAGAGTAATTGTACTCCGGCGAGGCGAAGAGGATGCTGTCGGCTTCAAGAATTTTCTGCCGGAACGCCTCCACCGCCGGCGGGAACCTTCCATCCTTCTCAAGATCGGTGTTAAGCATCGGCAGTGGCGCTATGTCCACGTATTCGATCTGTAAACCGTTGATAGACTCTCTGGATAGCTTAATCGCTACAATCAACAACACCAAATGATGATCAAAATCCAAACTCAACTCATATGAAACCACAAGAGACAAAAAATTCACACACTCATATATATATATATATATATATATATATATATATTTATACACACACAAAAGCATATAGGTTGGTAGAGACTAAAGAGAGAGTACCATAGTGGAGGAGGCCTCGATTGAAGGAAGCTTTGCGAATAGATCCGCAGAGAGCTGCGACTTTGATGATTGGTTTGGCCGCTGCTGCTTCCATTTCTCTCTCTGTATAATCTTTTCTCTCACTTCTGCTGCAGCCTTTCAATCACCAGATAGTTCTCCGCTTCAACATATATAGATATATATATATATATATACACACACACGCGCACATGGCGTGAAAGATGACCACAATTGATTCCTCCTTTATTGTTCTACTCGAAAAAAATAATTATTCAAAAAAAAGTTTATCATGAGTTATTATTTAAATTAATATTTTAAGTAAAAATAGTATTTTAATCCTTTCAAAACTGTAACTAAAATGACACGAAAACAAATAAAAATATCAAATTGATATTTCTGACTTTTGATCGAAACATTTTAAATATATATTCTTTACTAAATACATTTCTTTCAAAACACTGCTACAATAATTTACCAACAACTCAATTTATATTAGGTGAATAGTAAAAAAACCTCTGAACTTTTATCCATTTATAAAAAAATCTTTATAAATATCTTTAGCAATTAATCCCTCAACTATTAAGAGGGAGTCATTTTAACCGACCTCTAACTGAAATCAAAACAATACATTAGTATTACTAAATTATTCATCTTTTTTATTTTTTTATTATTTATTTATAAATTTTTATAAAATTTTAAATATCACTCAAATTTTTTATGTTTTTATTTTGTTGTATAAAATTTTAAAATTCAAAAACTTTCCCATGGGTTAATTTTTAGCCTCTAATTTGATCGTTTCTTTTTTTTTTTTTTTGTAAGTGATCGTTTTTCTCTTTTTTGATCACTGAAAACTCAATTACTCCATCTCTATTTTTACCTTTTTTTCTTTTTTTATTTTTTTCTATGCTACCCGACTTTCTTCAATAAAATCCCTATATAAAACTTTACTGTCTACTCTATTTTATTGCGTGAAACTCAAGAGTCTGCAAATGTTAGAGAATGTGAAAAAAAAAAAAAATAATAATAATATTTTTTCTTTAACATCTTAAAAGTCTGAATGGTGAAAAACTATTTTTTTATTATTTATTTATTTTTTGTAAAAAAGTAAATTTCCATAACCACCTTAACTTTTTGATAAATTTTCCTAAAAAACACAGTTGATTTCCTGAGAAAGTTATATGAAATTATAATTATACCCCACTTAGTTTGTAAAATAAAATGTGTTTATGCATAACTTTTGACAAAAATAGTACAACAGTCTATATATGTCTCTAGGTGTCCTACAAATTTTTTTTTTTAAGATTATTATTTTGCTTTTATTTGTCAAAAAAGACCAATAAATTTATTCAATCTAAATTTATTTAAACCTATTGTTTTATTTAATTAAAAATAAGGACAATGTAAGTTAGGGGCAGAGATAGAATTTCAATTCAGGCGTAGTGCCAAAAAAAAAAAATAATGAAGAAGGAGAAGAAGAAGAAGAATTTAAAAAAAAAAAAAGATGTATAAGATCAAAAAAGAAAGAAGAATTACATAACTTTGAAAGAAAATGAATTAGAGAGTGATTGAAGCACTTAAATTTTATTTTTTAAAAGAAATTATTGAATCTACCACTGATTCGTAAGTGTAATGATCCGATCTGATTCTCATGAATCGAATCAAATTAAATTTGCAAATTAACGGATCAATTGACCACCCCTAAAATCAAGGGGCAAATGCCCAAGACATACACGGACTTCGCTCCTAATTTAAGTAAGTCATAATATTTTATGATAATTTTTATACCATGAAGTAATACTTTCTTAATAACTTTTCAAAAAAAAAAATTCTTCATAACTAAATAATTTATTTTCTACTTTTAATTTATGTTATCACCGTTGTTCCATCTAACCATACAAATTTACAATGATGATTGTTATGAAACTAGAATAATCTATCACTAACAACCTATGTGAAATTATTGTCTGACTCTCCGACTACTTTTATTCCATTGCACTCTATCTCTTAATTATCTCTTGGATTTGAAATTAATGATCGAAGTGGGGTTTATAATGATGATTGTTATGAAATCATATAGTAGTGGTAGTACGCTTAAAATTAGTGGCCCAATGTGGGAATAATACCTGCCACTACAAAACATATATTTTTTTCATGCGATGTCATGCAAAATGAAGTTATAAATTTTTTTTTTTAAATAGTAATTTTTTTTCAATATTTGGGGTGTTTGAGGCTTTTGCTCGGAATAATCCATAAGACTCGTTTCATATGCCATTCACACGAATTTGGTAAAAATCGAACTATATTTTGAGGGCATGTCCTCTAAGGAATTGTTTCCATTTAGGAAGAATCGATTCTAAAACCTGATAGTTAGCGAACCCAATGTAGAAATAAAACCTGGTACAACAAAATATATATATATATAAAACTTGGTACAACAAAATATATATATATATATATATATATATATATATATTTTGTTGTACCTATATATATATATTTTTTCATGTAATACTATACAAATGAAATTATAATAATTTTTTTTTTATTTTTTAATAACCCAAGTGTTTGAGACTTTTGTTTCGATTAACCCAGAGGAGTCATGCAATGTACTCACAGATCCAATAAGATTCAAACTATATTCATAAACATAGCTCCTTTAAAATGATGAATGAATCTGATAGACTTTATGAGAGACATCATGACTCAAATTTTTTCGAAGTAAACCAACCCTTTTGGATTGAAATTATAATAAACTTTTAAGCAAGCAATAAGTGAAGTTTATAGAAGTTGACCATGAACTCGTTGACGAAAGAACAAAGTTCAAAAGATACTAGGTAAATTTTGTTGTCAAATAATAAGTGCTGTGGATTGATGATTTCAAATTTTCAATCATATGTCATGCATGACATTGCAAAATCTTTGTGAGGATGCAGCAAGTGGCATGGGCCGGATATAGTTCGTTGGAACGGGATCGGGTCGAACAATTGAAGTAGGGCCCATGCCAAAGCACCCCGGAATGGGCCGAACCTGGAGGATCCACCGAGGAAGATCAAGCCCATTGGAAGATCAGGCCCAAAAGGAAGAAAACTTTTGAATATAGGCCCAATGTAATCAGTTAACAATAATAATTGTAATGGCCTATAAATAGACCATTACAGGTGGATAAGAATGTGGGAATTTTTTGGAAGAATTCTAGAGAAAGAGAGAGAAAGAAGAAACAAATTCTTGCATCTTCAATTGGCGCCGTCTGTGGGAAACGAGGAAGAAGATCAATTCGAGCCCGATCAGTACCATATTAGTTCAATCGAGTTTGTGAGTACACAGTGTGATTTCTGGAAGTTGAATCCAGATCAGTGAGATTGTAGTTTGTTCAGAGAGAATTCTTGCTTATTGTGGATTCTGAGGTATTTGCTTCGGAATGACGCAATCGTGATTTGCTCAATTGCAGTCAGATCCGGTGAGTTCAAAGCTAGAAAAGTTCAGATCTAGCAAACAGTGATCACGATTCGGTGAAGTTAAGCCCAGATCTAACGGAGTTTGCATCGGTGATGCTTAGATCTGTTTCGGAGTTCGTAATTCATGCCTTTGTTTCGATCCGGAATCATGATAGGGGGTGACAACTCCAATACGGTTGAGAACGTCCAGCAAGTGAAACTTGATGAGTTGATGAACATGATCGAAGCTCTCCGGAGAGAAAATGCAGATCTAAGGACTGAAATGCAGCGTCTAGAAGCTCCAGTAATTCCACGACCACTCCCGGTAGGAGAAGAAGGTGCACGTACCGATGCAGCACATCACGGTGAGGAGGTTAGAAACAATCTAGTAGATCCTCACCGCGAGGAAATTCGGCGAGACAGTTTGCCGCCAAATCTTCGTCGTATTGATGATCGTGAAGGATCAACTCACATGGATCCACGGCGTGAGCAGATTAGGCGAAACGAAGCAATGACTTTTGATCCACATCAAGAAACGCTCAGCCGAGGTGAAGCAACAGAGTTGAATCGTCACAAAGCTATGCCTCCATGGCGTAAAGACTTTGTTGAGGACAGGTCATTTGATCCGACCTATTGGCCTTCCATGACGACGTTCGACTATCACAGCTCAGAGAGGAGATCAGTAGACCAAAAAGCAACCGCGAGGTTCCAGAGGGAAAATGAAGCACTCCGTTCATCAGCTCGAACAGTTGATTCACCATTCACCGATGAGATTCTGAATGCTCCGAGTCCGAGGAAATTTTCCATGCCCGTTTTCATTCTGTTCGACGGAACGACCTATCCGATCGATCACGTGTATCACATCCAGTTGAAAATGGCTCTAAACACTGAGAATGACTCTTTGATGTGCAAGTGCTTTCCTACGAGTCTGGCCGGACTAGCTCTGAATTGGTTCAAGAACCTGCCGAGGGGTTCAGTGGATAGTTTCCGAAGCTTGTGTGATCGGTTCATAAGCCAATACTATGGAAACAAGCGTCCAGCGAAAGATATTTCGAGCCTATTCACAATGAAGCAACATGCTGATGAGCGTCTCTAGCCAGGTTTAACCTTACCAAGAGCATGGTTTTTGAATGTCACCCTTCAACGGCAGTTCAAGCATTCATACTGGCCATGAACCGTGGCACCCTATTCCACACAAGCTTGGTGGTGAACCCGCCGAAGACTATGGATGAACTTAACAAAAGAGCCGATGGATTTGTGCACTTGGAAGAAGAAGAGGCGGCAAACGCTCGGAAGACATCCGTCATATCCACGGAAGAAAAGACCAAAGCAAAGATCAGGCAAAAACAGGTTCAGCCGCAACGCTCCTCGTGGAAATCTGAGAAGAGGTCCAGAGAGGAAGAGCTGGTTACTCCATTGAAAGTTACTTTAGCAAGGTTGTACCAAGAAAATAAAGATAAGTTCCAACCTCCTTTACCAATCAGACAACCTCTCGAACAGAGGGATCAGTCTAAGCACTGTGCATTTCATTCTGATTTTGGCCACCAGACTAACGAATGCAGGAACCTAAGGAGACAAGTAGAGATGCTGATAGCCAGAGGGGAGTTCGCAAGTTATATTCAAGGACCAGCGGTGGAACAGAACCGACCAATGGAGCACGTGAAGAAGAATCAGAAGTCGAATTCTCACAACACGCAACCACTTCGAGTAATCAATGCAATT